AGGTACTTCTGAGTTGCGTGCTGTTGTTTCTCATGGTCAGGTACAGAGAAGGGGGCAATCAAGAGGCATATTGAGAGTTTGGGACTATAAGGTTCGATCTGCAAAAAGCTGAGACTCATATAATTGGCTTTAACATTCCGAACCCACATTAGTTTGAATGGTGTCAGCAATTTTTTATCTTATATTCTTTTGAACTTAACATCATGAATTGGGGTATTTAGAGTACTATATAGGTAGAGAATAACTACATTTTGACAAAAATGCAGATAAAATCTTATTGTCCCAAGCTCTCTATGTCACCAGCAGAACAAACTCAAATCAAGTAAAGATTAGATAGATTGTTTGGACAGCGTAATTAACTAGCTAACCAGCTAGCTAGCTGATTTACATAATCTACATTCGCTATGATCAGCTGATAGCCCACCCAACTTTGGCCAACCTGATATGTCTGTGAACAGTAGTAGCTCTTGCTTCCCATGCGTGATGGATGTGTGTGTGTTTTTGTAGAAAACAAAGGCCTATGCTAATAAAGGGCTATGGGTAGGTGGGGCCCCAGCATATTCATTTAACAGACAGGGTGACTTCTATAGTTATTTGTACAGTACATACCGTTCTGTGTGCAGTCTATATGTTGATTCATACCTTGGATTCATACTAAGGCCCAGAAACAGTAAGCCTACACTACTAATACACTCTGTAACCAAATGTGATGTGTTTCAAATGGATATGGAAATCTATAAATATAAAAAGCAGCACAAATATACAAGAAAGTATTTATTGATGTGGTATCAATACAATCAAGTACTGTACATTTTGTATAAGCAGACAAAAAAATTATAGCAAAAAGAGTGCATTTTATACACAAATTCTATTGCATAGAGTGCACGCCATAGCCATGTACAAGACAGAAAATCCTATAGGTTGATACATTGTACATTACACAAAAAAAGGAACAAAAAATCACACAACAAATCCTTCACAAACAATGCTAGAATGCTAACTTCGTGTTCTAAATGCTCTTAACTCGTTCAATGTTGTTAAATACCATTTATACCATGCTTCGGTGGTCGGTTTTGGCATCTCTGTTAAATTATCACAAATGTATCTTCATTAATGTCATGTGCAAATGGGAATGACCGTTTGTATGTATCTCCAAACTATAACAAACAAATATCCCTTAAAACCCGAAGCAAGGCTTACATTTTCTTTTTTTATATATATATATATATTTTTTTTTAAATCATTGAATAGAAAACAAGTCAGTTTGTGATCAAGGCAGTACATTGGGAGAAAAATGTTTTTGCACACGCACTGCAAACTCTGCAACCAAGTGACATTGTCTAGAAAAAAGGAGAGTTATAGTCTAGCCACGCCACTCCAAAACAGCATTCCAAATGTATGAAAGAATGAGGCAATAAAAAAGGCAACATACAGTACATAACCAGAACAAGCCTTGAATTGTCTGGTAGACTCACACAACAATAATGATACACAAACTTTAGGTATGTTCAGATAATGATGAGAGAAAAAGGGCCTCAAACAGACCAGTGAGAGTGCTTCCATTAGGCCTACATACGTTTAAAATACTGATTGTGAGACTCAATGCTCTACTCAGTCAAAACCGATGACCATTTCTACAGGATAAATCTAAAACATAATTATTCAGGCACAGCAATACACTATGTTTTGATTAGTCCAATATGCAGACAATTGTAGCGATAATCCAATATGCATGATGTTATTTTTTATTATTTTTTGCAGGGGGGGGGGGGGACCTGGATACCCATTTGGATTTAATGTTGGCCTCAGTTTGTAGTCTGAATACACTGTATACTCTTGGGTATTTGAGAGCTTGGGACTATAAGGTTCTATCTGCATTTCTTGTCAGAATTGAGTTATTGACATAGCCTTTTTCTGTTCAATGTTCTCTAGTACTCTAAAAACCCCAATTAATGTTGATAAGTTCAAAAGAATACAAGATAAAGAGTTGTACTGTTACAGAACTCAAACTCTAGACAAAGGAAAATAGATGGGTGGTACTGAACATTCTGCTAATGTCACCATGAATAGCATCAGGGTAGTCTAAAAGTGTTTAATATCTCTACATCTGGAAACAAACTATATGATGTTCCTACATTTAATTTACAGTAAGGAAGTGTGATAGACTGTATGATATAACCTTGGGCCCAAGGTTACTGGAAGATGAAGGACTTTAAGTTAGATATTGTCCCGTTCATTCCGTCCCAGATTCTCCCATGTCTACCCTCAGTTTGCCCACCAAATTCACAGAATTATTGCACAAAAATACCGAAATTATTTGTAACCAGCCCAGTGTTAGTCAATAACCCCTTGTTTTCAAAAGTCCATGATGTGTTTTACAACAATACTTTCGTCTTACTTTGCATACATTTTCCCCATCTCTATTGTACGTTTCTCATCTTTGCATTATGTATACCCACTGGGCAAAAACTGGTTGAATCAACGTTGTTTCCACGTAATTTCAACCCAAAATCAACTTGATGACATTGAATCAATGTAGAAAACGAATTGCAAAAAGTAATCATCGTAAGGGCATTTCGTATTTTTTTTTACCCAACTTTTTACCTAAATCCAATGACATGATTACATTTTTTATTAATTTCACATTGAATTCACATTAGTTGACAACTCAACCAAAACTAGACGTTGAACTGACGTCTGTGCCCAGTGGGTATGTAGCCCACTACTACTACCAAACAGAATTCCTCTCTTCTGTTGCGACATTTCCCAAGCCATAAGGGCCATACATTTACTTAACCTTCATGAAGACACACACATCCTATTTGAACCGGATCAAATCTTCAATTCAAAACTGTGGTGGAATATTGACTAGAAGTGCATGTTCCCAAACGACTCAGAAAACATGGTCCATGGTCTCTGCAGTTCATCATTCACCCAGGTGAAGGGTTAAGGTGTGTGTGAAACAGACAGACACACACACACAGTGAGAAAGAAATACAGCCGGAAACACTCACATGGTGGTGTATCAATCTCACCCCACTGCCTCATCCCACACAGCACCAGTAGAACTCACATGGCAAACACAATTCTCACATATGTCCCACCGTTTCTCCCAGAATAACAGAGCCATGTTAATTGTTATGCAATCAGGATTTCACAAGCACCGGGCCTCACTCTCTCGCTCTCTCTCTCCCTTTACCTATTATTATGGAGATCCATGCATGTTCATTTCTGAAAGTGAACCCTCTTTCATATTCTGTCAGAAGACTTTGGCTAAGAATATCCTGTGGCAACATCAGATGTTCCATCAAACTGAGCATTGGGTAAACCATTTTGGTTGTCGAAGTACAGTATGTTAAAATGGAAAATGAATGGATAACCTTTGTTATGCTGAGGCTTACGGTGGATTGGAAATTATTACTGTACGTCTATCAACACAATGAGTTAAACACTATAGCACCTAATACTGGGAGGGCTGTGTAAGATTTAGGAGATAATTTGAACTGCACGCTATGCACCCATTGGGTTTGATCTGAACCTTCAAAGGGTTATTCTGTAGAAACAGTTTAGATGGCCTCTAGCCAGTTGTCTGTGTGAAATGCTGAAAGATTTGTAGTTTGTAGACAAAATGAGGCTTTTCACATGAGCTATTGCTCAGAATGTTCACTCTAAATGTTAATGTGAAAGGCACAAGGGCATTGATTGCTCGGTCACAGCCTTGGCGTTAGTGGACACAAAAAGCAGTGATGTCATCGGTATACTGTATGTGTGGCATAGAGAATGTAATAAGGGTGATATGGGAGCTGCAGTGCACGTGGTTAATGGGAATAGCCACAGAATGGATCGATGCAGGGAAACATGGCATTGATCCTAATGCATTTGGCATATTCTTTCTGTCCATTATTTCTGTTCAGATGACACATTTATTTATTAATATAATGATTAACTTACACATTTATTTATAGATTTATTCAGTTGTCTATTTAATGTGTTCTATATATTTATAATTCTTTAGGTTACTGGTTTCTATATTGATGCTTTGTCAAAGAGGGGAAAAAAGGGGGGGAAATGGTTACCTTTGGATTTCTAATACTGCTAAGGGGGGTTTACTATCTCTGTAAGTCCTTTTGATTTGTGTGAATCTTACACAAGTTGGATACACCAATTACTTATTTTTGATCAAGTAATAGCCACGATCCAAAACCATCAGCTTCTATTATCAGCACCAATCCTTTCAGCACAGGCCTCTTTTGTAGAACCAGGAAATTATCAACTGGAAGTTGACTGTCAAAACATCAGAGCGTACTGATAAACAACGATCCATCGATCCCTATAGCAGGTCTTCTTAAAAATAAAAAAGTGAAAATTATTGGACATTATCTCACATAAGGGATTGTTTATTGAACACAGTGTTCATACTGTATGTGTAATGGTACATCTTTATGTGAAATATTGATTTAAATAAGGAAGCTGTTGACATAAAATGGCGGACACGCACACAGGAGGATATGGGAGGTTTTTGTGCAGGAAGTGACTGCAGCCAGGGGAACCAATCGGAGCCCCAGGGTCCGACGATGTCATCCTACTGATCAGAGCATTTGGGTAGGATGTGCAGTCACATGGGTAGGTCTAATAACTGTTACTTACGCATTGCAAAGTAAGGCACTTAATAGTCTGAATCCAATAAACAACAGCAATACTGACGCCAAAATAACAATAATACAATTATGACAATAACAATAATTATAATAATATAAGCAACAACAAAAAAATTAACAAAAAAATGACATTTGAAAGAAAGAGATAAAAACAGAGCACAGCATGAAGTATCCTTCTCCTGCTTTTTAACTCTTTCCATCTTTCGTTCACAAAGTATTTTCTGTCGTTGTTGATGTTGTTGATGATAACATTCTACAGGTGGTGTTATTCTGTTATGGCTGCAGGTGTTATGATATGGGGGCACTAGGGGGCACCCTAGGAGAAAGTTGACTAGCAGGGCGTTATGTGGGACAGAGCAGGAACCCTGAGAAGGACGAGTGGATGTATTCGGTGGAGTAGAGCCCGTTAGCCTGATCCGAGGGCATCTGCATCCACACCTGGTCGTTCTCCTTCAGCTCAAGCACGGCGCTACCGGACGCCTGGTCCATGTAGCCCTTCTTGTACTCATCGTAGGTGTATGTGGCGGGAACATTGTTCTTGTACAGCGCCACCCACAGACTGAGTCCCTTTACGTGCATGTGGTAGGCAAAGTAGTAGACGCCGGACATGGGGCTGGTGAAGATACCGGTGATGGGGTTGTAGGCATTCTGCCCGTTGTACAGGGTCCTGTCGAACTTGATGGGCATCCCGGAGGGAGGGAAGGGCGTGGTGAGGATGGCGGTAAATGCTGGTGCCAGGGTGGCGGAGAGCTCTGCGTGGCCAAACTGTGGTTTTGGGTTCCTCCCATTTGGTACCTCGCCCCCGCCCAGCTCCGAATCTGTTAGCCCAGCCACGATGGTTTGGCCATTTCCTGCAGGGCCAGGGGGCCCGGGTGGCCCAGGTGGGCCTGGGTTGCCGTTGAGCCCAGAGTTGCCTGGTTTTCCTTGGGGACCTTGAGGACCAGGAACTCCCTTTTCTCCGAGCATGCCCAGCCCTGGAAGACCAGGCAGCCCAGGTTCGCCTTTCAGACCTGGGATACCCTGTGGCCCCATTGGCCCTGAAGGCCCCTGAAGACCGGGGATACCAGACTGGCCTCTTGGTCCTGGAGACCCAACAAACCCAAACTCCCCCTTTGGTCCAGGATTGCCTATAAGACCTGGGTTTCCAGGCAGGCCTATGTGCCCTGACTCGCCTTTGGGCCCTGGTTTTCCGATAGCCCCGTTAGGGCCCGGTGGGCCTTTATCTCCAGGAATGCCAGGTATTCCAGACAGACCACCGGGACCCTGATCCCCTCTGATCCCTGGCAGACCTGGATGACCCTGGGGACCCAACTCTCCCTTCAGACCGGGCATGCCGTGTTTTCCTGGGAGCCCCATGGGGCCCTGTAATCCTGGTGTTCCTGGGTGTCCGTCTAGACCCATGTCTCCTGGCTGCCCCTCCATCCCAGGCTCCCCCTTATCCCCAGGGACTCCTGGTCCCCCGGAGAGGCCCTTGTCTCCCTTCAGCCCAGATAGACCAGGTTTGCCATAGCCAGGAGTTCCAGGAAATCCTGGAGAACCCCTCAGCCCTGGCTCACCTTTAGGCCCAAGTGGACCTGGTCCTCCAGGCAATCCATCATTACCAGGCTTGCCCAATCCGACGGGTCCTGGCCGGCCTTGCAGCCCTGGACTGCCGGCCTCACCTGGCTCTCCTATTCCTCCTGGGAGCCCCTGGTCCCCTTTTGGCCCGGACGGACCAAGAAGCCCGTTCAGTCCTGGTTTGCCCACACCCGGGTTACCAGCTGGCCCTGGAAGGCCCCTAAGCCCGATGGGGCCCCCGGGTCCTGGCATCCCTGGCTTCCCATTGCCATTCTCCCCCTTGATTCCACGCTCCCCGGGATATCCAGGTCCACCTTTCTGTCCTGGTTCTCCACGAGACCCAGGTTGGCCCCTCCCGCCGGGAAGCCCAGGTTTGCCATTCAGAGACAGGCCAGCTGGCCCGGGGAGACCTGGTTGACCTGGAAGTCCTCTGGGACCTGGTTCACCCCGGAGCCCAACCTCGCCATTATTCCCGGGCATCCCTTTCATGCCCCCCTTTCCTGGGAGACCTGGAAGTCCGGGCTTCCCAATGCCGGGAAAGCCTGGAGGCCCCTGAGGGCCAGGCTGGCCATTGAGACCTGGTTTTCCCAGTCCTGGTTTTCCCGGAAGTCCTGATGGCCCAGGTGGGCCTCTGGGTCCAGGTTTTCCTTGGGGCCCTGGCTCACCCTTTACGTCCATCATGGGTGGCATGTCTGTATGAGAAAATGGAAGACATTGTGATTACCTGCTCATCCCCTTTCAAATCATTCATGATCTTTCAAAAGGTCAAATAGATCTTAAAGTGTGAAAAACAAAGAAAAAATATGTAGTTGCGTCCCAAATTACACCCTATTCCCTATATAGTGCACTACTTTTGACCAGGTCTCATATAAGGTGAATAAGGTGCCATTTGGGATGCATCCCTAGATTTCACTTAGTTCTTTAGTCAGTGACTTGGCTCTGAAAATAGTGGAACAAAATCCATTACAAAATCGCCCCCACAGGATCATCAGGGTAACGAATAACAGTCCAGAAAGTAGAGGAGGCTTAATATACTTTCAAATTAATTGCCCCGGATTTATTTTGTTATGATCCTGCAGCAACAGGAAATGTGGATTATAATCAATGGACATTTTTGTAGAAGTTGACATTTCTAAGTGGAATTACAAACTTCAGAAGCCTTTTTAAAGTTATTCTGCATTGTCCTGCATTGCAGGAAAGTTATCCTGCAACAGGGTGATCAAATTAAGATCCTACATCTGTATGGTTCTACTGTACATGAGTGCCAGTGTGTATCTGCTTTGCCAAATTCTTGTCATTGTCTAGTTAGGCTTGCTTAGGAACAGCAATGATGTAGAGAATTCAGAGACAGTCCAGGACCCAGGTTAGGTCTTCCTTTAGGGTGGTGAATATTGGACTAGCTGATCTAGTTTTCACATGGTCATATACAGTGTGTGTGTCCATTTAGGACATCTGCCAAAGGTCAACTCGTGACAGAGAAGAGTTTGTGTTCAGTTGTCTGATGTAGCCAACTATGACTGGGTTAACTATGACTACTATGACTTGGTTAACTATGACTGGGTCAACTACAGTGGCTTGCGAAAGTATTCATCCCCCTTGGCATTTTTCCTATTTTGTTGCCTTACAACCTGGAATTAAAATGGATTTGTATCATTTGATTTACACAACATGCCTACCACTTTGAAGATGCAAAGTCAATACTTTGAAGAGCCACCTTTAACAGCAATTACAGCTGCAAGTCTCTTGGGGTATGTCACTATAAGCTTGGCACATCTAGCCACTGGGATTTTTGCCCATTCTTCAAGGCAAAACTGCTCCAGCTCCTTCAAGTTGGATGGGTTCCGCTGGTATACAGCAATCTTTAAGTCATACCACAGATTCTCAATTGGATTGAGGTCTGGGCTTTGACTAGGCCATTCCAAGACATTTATATGTTTCCCCTTAAACCACTCAAGTGTTGCTTTAGCAGTATGCTTAGGGTCATTGTCCTGCTGGAAGGTGAACCTTCGTCCCAGTCTCAAATCTCTGGAAGACTGAAACAGGTTTCCCTCAAGAATTTCCCTGTATTTAGAGCCATCCATCATTCCTTCAATTCTGACTTGTTTACCAGTCCCTGCCGATGAAAAACATTGGTGTTCTCGGGGTGATGGGAGGTATTGGGTTTGCGCCAGACATAGCGTTTTCCTTGATGGCCAAAAAGCTCAATTTTAGTCTCATCTGACCAGAGTACCTTCTTCCATATTTTGGGAGTCTCCCACATGCCTTTTGGCGAACACCAAACGTGTTTGCTTATTTTTTTCTTGAAGCAATTGCTTTTTTCTGCCCTCTCTTCTGTAAAGCTCAGCTCTGTGGAGTGTACGGCTTAAAGTGGTCCTATGGACAGATACTCCAATCTCCGCTGTGGAGCTTTGCAGCTCCTTCAGGGTTATCTTTGGTCTCTTTGTTGCCTCTCTGATTAATGGCCTCCTTGCCTGGTCCATGAGTTTTGGTGGGCGGCTCTCTCTTGGCAGGTTTGTTGTGGTGCCATATTCTTTCAATTTTTTAATAATGGATTTAATGGTGTTCCGTGGGATGTTCAAAGTTTCAGGTATTTTTTTTATAACCCAACCCTGATCTGTACTTCTCCACAACTTTGTCCCTGACCTGTCTGGAGAGCTCCTTGGTCTTCATGGTGCCGCTTGCTTGGTGGTGCCCCTTGCTTAGTGGTGTTGCAGACTCTGGGGCCTTTCAGAACAGGTGTATATATACTGAGATCATGTGACAGGTCATGTGACACTTAGATTGCACACAGGTGGACTTTATTTAACTAATTATGTGACTTTTGAAAGTAATTGGTTGCACCAGATCTTATTTAGGGGCTTCATAGCAAAGGGGGTGAATACATTGCACGCACCACTTTTCCGTTATTTATTTTTTATAATTTATTTTTTCATTTCACTTCACCAATTTTGACTATTTTGTGTATGTCCATTACTTGAAATCCAAATAAAAATCCATTTAAATTACAGTTTGTAATGCAACAAAATAGGAAAATTGCCAAGGGGGATGGATACTTTTGCAAGGCACTGTATTACTGGGTTAAATATGACTGGGTTAACTATGACTGTGTTAACCGCGACTGGGTTAACTATGACTGGGTCAACTATGACTGGGTTATTAGTGTGTGGAGTGGGTCAGAGTAGTGTGTAATCTCAGTGTGGAGTGGGTCAGAGTATTGTGTAGCCTCAGTGTGGAGTGGGTCAGAGTAGTGTGTAGCCTCAGTGTGTGGAGTGGGTCAGAGTAGTGTGTAGCCCCAGTGTGTGGAGTGGGTCAGAGTAGTGTGTAGCCCCAGTGTGTGGAGTGGGTCAGAGTAGTGTGTGACCTACAGGCATACTATGTTATGAGCCCTGGACAAAGCAGATCACTGGGGTCAAGCAAGGGTCATCAGGGTCATCAATAACAATCCAGAAAGTAGAATAGGGCATATGATGTAATGGATTGATAGATTTTCAAATTGATTGTCCCGGATATACATCGAAACATGGTTAAAACTGTGATTTGGATTTAATGGATGGTCAGTCCTTGCATCCATAGCCCTGTTTATGAATGTACATTTCTCCAGCCTCATCCCTGAGCTTTTTACCAAATCAATGGCGGGTGACCGCTTTGTTGTTGTTTGAACCACCGATTTCCCCTTTAAACATCATCAAAATGTTTTGTAGCCAATTTTTTTACATAAATTAACTTATATACAGGTAATAACTATTGAGCAATACTAAAATGTTTTGATTTTCCAGTTATGCCTATTGCAATTGTGCATAAATCCAATGTGTAAGTCGCTCTGGATAAGAGTATCTACTAAATGATGTAAATGTAAATGCAATGTAGTCTCATGGCCACTAGGTGGAGGTAGCTGCATGCCATTTGAACTAAGCTCCCCAAAGACAACAACAAGTGTGTTAAGGTTCAGCATAGCTGATATATGCAACCACTTGTTGATCCCATTCCATCATTAAACTCTAAAAGCAGGGTATAGGCCTAGGATCCACTTCATGTCAAAACTTCAGGTAGCCTATGTTCATGGACATGGGATTGGACATCCTCCTCAGGAATTTTCTTTGATTTTGACTACTGGAATGTGCTTTTCTCAAACAACATTTCATGGTGAGATATTGAAAATGTGCCTGTCATGAAAGGAATTGTTTTGAGGTAGCTAGGGCCCCTTTTCCCCCATAGAATATACTGATCTACAATATGTTGAGTGACTCTTGGTACAAAAGGTGACAGAGAAACCATTCACTCCGGATGGTTAAGGTAAGGGTTAAGGTTTGTGATAGACCAAATGTTTTTCTTCTCAAAAACAACTTTCTATTGCTGGATTCAAACTTGCAACCTTTGGAATCAGAGGCAAATGCTTACGCCAACTGCCATCCCTGTCCACAATGCCCTAGCAATACCGAAACCTACTTGAAGGTAACAGCGCTCACTGTTGCCCCTAGTGGCTGGTTACCACATAATCTCCCGACGTCTTCAGACATGGATGGACGACGAATACTGACTTGTATCACGGGTGACCTGGCTGGAGACGCACATGCCTGCAAGCACTCTCACTAACGCATTACATAACAACAGAGAGAGCGAGAGAGAAAGAGAGAGGCATATGCAGGGACATGCATTCACAAACATCAATAGAATCTGATGCTCTGTCTTTATATATTTATTTTTCTCTCTTTCACTTTCTCTCGCTCTCTCTCCCTCACTTTCTCTCTCCTCTTCTCCCTCTCTCACACACATCCACAAACACAATGCCTGACTGTCTTAGTAGACTGTCTTAGTCTACGTGAAAATCACTGGTAACAGCAACCAGATGGTGGGAGGAACAAGGCCTACCAGAGCCTTCACACACACGCACGCACACCAAAACAGACACACACACAGTGCAGAGCCTAGCGGAGCCCAGCGGAGCTCAGTAAACAGTGGGCAATCAGAACCCCATCAGACCTATTGAAGACCTGCCAAGTCCTACTAGACCCAGAGAGAGCAAGGAGCCACAGTCTCTTCAGCCTTTTTACTGCCCACGAAGGACAAATAAAGCAAAGGCATTACTACACAAATATATGTGTCTGTCCTGTCTCAATCTGGGATGACCTCCATATCAAATATACAACCTGGACGTAGTTGAGGGAGAAATAGATATATTGATGTTTTATACTGTTTTCTTCTCTGTGTGGGATGTTTTTTTTTTAATGGGGGCTGAACTGGCAGCTGTGCTCCGAATTAATGATTACTTCCCACTGGGCACACACTGGTTGAATCAATGTTGTTTCCACGTCATTTCAATTAAATTACATTGAACCAACGTGGAATAGACATTGAATTGACGTCTATGCCCAGTGGGTTGAGTTCTGCCAGATGTGGGCAAGATTGAAATAAACCCAACTCAAGGAAAAATGTTACGGTACTATTAATTCCGCAACATACAATTTTTTCCTATAATCTCGCAAATCTCAGTTTTGGACAAAACTGCCTTTATGACCAAAATTATACTATTTTCACTTTGGAGTCAATTTTTACACTGGAGTAACTGTTTCTGACTCATATCGATGCCACATAGGCCTCTTTCAAAACAAGAAGTTGCTTTTTTAGGGGCAGTTGCTCTTTAATGTCTGTTTCGGATTATATTTTGTCCTACTAGTACTTTGTACCGATGTTTGGATATTTTTTATAATTATATAGATCATGAGGTGCCTTGATCCAAGCAATACTACTGGCCATTTGAGAGAGGCAGCGAGATGCTACTGGCAACCTCAATTGGGATTGAAATACAAGACAATGACAATAGATTTGGATGTATCAATAGTGAAGGTTATAATATGTTGGTAAAGACTGTTATATCAAAGCAGGGTAACTATATTGGGAGGGTATATTGAGTTGAACTGAGTAAGAGAACTCTATCTGAACTCACAATTTGTAAGACATTAGGGAAGAGCATCATTGCTTTGCTTACGTTCACAATTTACATCCTACACATGCTAACCATTGTAATCAAAGTGCTGAACGTTTACCCTCTCTGTCGACAATGAAAGATATGGGGAGCATTGACTCCTTTCTTTTATCTAATTAATCTCTCTGTTTTCCTAGAAGAGAGGGACATTCTGACCCTCACTTTCACTGTCAGGGAACGTAACGTTCTCTTTGGCTCTCTCATCATCAACATATCCCTATTTCTAACCATCCAATTTCCATTCACAGACCTGCTTCTCCCTCTCCTCTCCTTCCACCCCTCCTCTAGTGCCTCCTCTCCATCCTCTTTTGGCATGCTCCTACTCTTTCCCCATGCTCCTCCTCTTTCCCCATGCTCCTCCTCTTTCCCCATGCTCCTCCTCTTTCCCCATGCTCCTCTTTTCCCTTCTCATCTCTTTTATCGTCTCATCTCTCTGCTATACATTTAGTCTATATTTCTGACCCTGAGCTTCCGAAAGCCACTCAATACAGAAGCTGCGAGGCACATCTTAGCATTCATATGCATTCAGTCATGGCTGTGGCTTATACAGGCAGAGGCTTCTATGTAAGGTTAAAGCTATAGGTTAATCCTAAAGAGTCTATTGACTCTCCCCTGCGTCAATCTAAATAAGATAATAAAAAATTCCCCATCAAAATCTGTTCACAACGTTGACATCAGCAAACCGCTCGCCCACACGACGCCGGTACAGTTGAAACAGTGATTCATCCGTGAAGAGCACACTTCTCCAGTGTGCCAATGGCCAATGACGGTGATCATTTGCCCACTGAAGTTGTTACGACACCGAACTGCAGTCAGGTCAAGACCCTGGTGAGGACGACGAGCACGCAGATGAGCTTTCCTGAGACGGTTTCTGACAGTTTGTGCAGAAATTCTTCGGTTGTGCAAACCCACAGTTTCATCAGCTTTCTGGGTGGCTGGTCTCAGACGATTCCGCAGGTGAAGAAGCCGGATGTGGAGGTCCGGTTGGACATACTGCCAAATTCTCTAAATGACGTTGGAGGCGGCTTATGGTAAAGAAATTAACATTTAATTATCTGGCAACAGCTCTGGTGGACATTCCTGCAGTCAGCATGCCAACTGCACACTCTCTCAAAACGTAAGACATCTGTAGCATTGTGCTGTGTGACAAAACTGCACAGTGGTATTTTATTGTCCCCAGCACAAGGTGCACCTGTGTAATGATCATGCTGTTTAGTCAGCTTCTTGATATGCCACACCTGCCAGGTGGATGGATCATCTTGGCAAAGGAGAAATGCTCACTAACAGGGATGTAAACAAATTTGTGCACAACATTTGAGAGCTATAAGCTTTTTGTGTGAATGGAACATTTCTGGGATCTTTTATTTCAGCTCATGAAACATGGTACTAACACTTTACATGTTTTGTGTATATTTTTGTAGGTGTGTCCAAACTTTTGACTGGTACTGTATATATATATATATATATATATATATATATATATATATATATATATATATATATATATTATATATTTCCTGACCTTTCTTATATATTTCTTATATCTCCTAGATATAGGACAGACACTTCAAAACCTTATTTCTTATGATGAATTTCTGGGAATTTATGAATGTGTTATTCATAAATGGGCTATAGTAATAAAGGACAAATGCAATATTTGATCACATAATTTTTTTATATTGTTTTTTTGATACCTAAAGGAAATTCTAAATCAAATAGCTAAATGATGCATGGTATGAGCATCTTAAAACAATTCCTTATGTTAGAATAGTAGAACCCCCCACCTTTCTCACTGTTCCCTCCTGCCCCTGCATACCTTTAACACTGGGTGACGTACTTCACACACACACACACACACACATACATACACATACACATACACATACACACACACACACATTTGTTTTACTATCCTCGTGGGGACCAAACAATTGATTCCCGTTCAAAATCCTATTTTCTCTAACCCCTAAACCTAACCATTAACCTAATTGTAACACTAAACCTAACCCCTAAGCCTAAAATAGCATTTTTCCTTGTGGGGAGCGACGAAATGTCCCCACTTATCTGAATTGTCCTTGTTTTACTATCCTTGTGAGGACACACAGACGCAAATACGTTGCACACACAGCTACACACACACACACATACTAACCGAGGTACTGTCCTTTGCCCTCTCGGAAGGGGGGTCCCACGGGGCCTTTCATCATGGGCTGCATGTACTTCATCTGGGGCATGGGGGGGTAGCCTCCCCCAAGGACGCGGCCCCCCAGCAGCAGCAGCAGCACATAGACAGGAGCCAACAGCATGTTCATCAGCCTCCCAGGCTCCAGGCTCAGCCGCTAGCAACTGGAATGGAGGAGAGAAAGAGAGAGAGAGAGTTTAAGGGAGAAGAGAAAAGAGAGAGACGGAGCCTTCCATTCCCCAGTCTTGCCCCCCTTTCCCCTTTCCTTTTGGGCCCCAAACCCCCCTAGCGGGAGATGAAAAGAGGGAGGGAAAAATTTTTTTACGGCGAAGAAAAGGGGGGGGGAAAAAAAAAATTCCTCATTCTGGAACAAAAAACTCAAATAAGAAACCGTGGTTGTAAAGAAAAATCAAAAAAGGGTTTTTTGGGTTTTGGCCCCCCATTTTTTAAAATTTGTATATTTTTTGGATTTGGGGGGAGACCTAAACCCTTTTTGCTTTTACTCCATAAAGGGGGTTTTTTTTTTCTATCTTTGGTTTCCCCTTTTTTTTTTTTTTCTTTTTCTTTTTTTTGGTTTTTTTTTTTTAAAAAATAATGGAATTTTTTTAAAATATTTTTTTTTAAGTAGATTTGGACAGGGGGGGAAACAAATTTTGAACCCCGATTTTCATTTCCATTCACAGACCTGTTTAGTTTTTCTTTAAGAAGCCCTCCTGTTTCCTCCACTCATTACCTGTATTACCTGCACTGTTTGAACTCGTGAACCCTGTATACAAGATACTGTCCACACCTCAATCAAACAGACTCCAACCTCTCCACAAGGCCAAGACCAGAGAGCTGTGTAGGACATCAGGATAAAATTGTAGACCTGCCCAAGGCGGATGGGCTACAGGACAATAGGCAAGCAGCTTGGTGAGAATGCAACAACTGTTGGCACACATTATTAGAAAATGGAAGAAGTCAAGTTGACGGTCAATCCACCCTCGTCTGGGGCTCCATGCAAGATCTCACCTCGTGGGGCATCAATGATCATGAGGAAGGTGAGGGATCAACCCAGAACTACACAGCAGGACCTGGTCAATGACCTGAAGAGAGCTGGGACCACAGTCTCAAAGAAAACCATTAGTAACACACTACGCCGTCATGGATTAAAATCCTGCAGTGCACGCAAGGTCCCCCTGCTCAAGCCAGCGCATGTCCAGGCCCGTCTGAAGTTTGCCAATGACCATCTGGATGATCCAGAGGAGGAATGGGAGAAGGTCATGTGGTTTGATGAGACAAAAATATAGTTTTTTGGTCTAAACTCCACTTGCCGTGTTTGAAGGAAGAAGAAGGATGAGTACAACCCCAAGAACACCATCCCAACCGTGAAGCATGGAGATGGAAACATCATTCTTTGGGGATGCTTTTCTGCAAAGGGGACAGGACGACTGCACCGTATTGAGGGGAGGATGGATGGGGCCATGTATCGCGATATCTTGGCCAACAACCTCCTTCCCTCAGTAAGAGCATTGAAGATGGGTCGTGGCTGGGTCTTCCAGCATGACAACGACCCGAAACACACAGCCAGGGCAACTAAGGAGTGGCTCCGTAAGAAGCATCTGAAGGTCCTGGAGTGGCCTAGCCAGTCTCCAGACCTGAACCCAATAGAAAATCTTTGGAGGGAGCTGAAAGTCCGTATTGCCCAGCGACAGCCCCAAAACCTGAAGGATCATCTTGAACTTCTTCCATTTTCTAATAATTGCGCCAACAGTTGTTGCCTTCTCACCAAGCTGCTTGCCTATTGTCCTGTAGCCCATCCCAGCCTTGTACAGGTCTACAATTTTATCCCTGATGTCCTTACACAGCTCTCTGGTCTTGGCCATTGTGGAGAGGTTGGAGTCTGTTTGATTGAGTGTGTGGACAGGTGTCTTTTATACAGGTAACGAGTTCAAACAGGTGCAGTTAATACAGGTAATGAGTGGAGAACAGGAGGGCTTCATAAAGAAAAACTAACAGGTCTGTGAGAGCCGGAATTCTTACTGGTTGGTAGGTGATCAAATACTTATGTCATGCAATAAAATGCAAATTAATTACTTAAAAATCATACAATGTGATTTTCTGGATTTTTGTTTTAGATTCTGTCTCTCACAGTTGAAGTGTACCTATGATAAAAATTACAGACCTCTACATGCTTTGTAAGTAGGAAAACCTGCAAAATTGGCAGTGTATCAAATACTTGTTCTCCCCAATGTATACATTTGCAAAAAAATATATATGGGGGATTGGAAGTGATGCAGACAATTACATTGATGGAAGTTACAATCTATCTGCAATATTAAAGCTGATCTACCCCGTAAAAAAAAAGAAGAAAAAATGAAAATGAAAATGAAAAATTATTGATACTGAGATGAAATTGGATAATTTTCACACCTCTGCTTATCTGAAACCATGCCAGTGGGTCGGTCTGGTTAGCATTAGAACTCTACTGCCAGTGGGTCGGTCTGGTTAGTATTAGAATTCTACTGCCAGTGGGTCATCCTGGTTAGCATTAGAACTCTATTGCCAGTGTGTCGGTCTGGTTAGCATTAGAACTCTACTGCCAGTGGGTCGGTCTGGTTAACATTAGAACTCTACTGCCAGTGGTCGGTCTGGTTAACATTAGAACTCTACTGCCAGTGTGTTGGTCTGGTTAACATTAGAACTCTACTGCCAGTGGGTCGGTCTGGTTAGCATTATAACTCTATTGCCAGTGGGTAGGTCTGGTTAGTATTAGAACTCTACTGCCAGTGGGTCGGTCTGGTTAGTATTAGAACTCTACTGCCAGTGGGTCGGTCTGGTTAGCATTAGAACTCTACTGCCAGTGGGTCGGTCTGGTTAGTATTAGAACTCTACTGCCAGTGGGGTCGGTCTGGTTAATATTAGAAATCTACTGCCAGTGGGTCGGTCTGGTTAGCATTAGAACTCTACTGCCAGTGGGTCGGTCTGGTTAATATTAGAAATCTACTGCCAGTGGGTCGGTCTGGTTAGCATTAGAACTCCACTGCTAGTGGGTCGGTCTGGTTAGTATTAGAAATCTACTGCCAGTAGGTCGGTCTGGTTAGCATTAGAACTCTACTGCCAGTGGGTCGGTCTGGTTAATATTAGAACTCTACTGCCAGTGGGTCGGTCTGGTTAGTATTAGTTCTCTACTGCCAGTGGGTTGGTCTGGTTAACATTAGAACTCTACTGCCAGTGGGTCGGTCTGGTTAGCATTAGAACTCTACTGCCAGTGGGTCGGTCTGGTTAGCATTAGAACTTTACTGCCAGTGGGTCGGTCTGGTTAGTATTAGTACTCTACTGCCAGTGGGTTGGTCTGGTTAACATTAGAAATCTACTGCCAGTGGGTCAGTCTGGTTAACATTAGAACTCTACTGCCAGTGGGTCGGTCTGGTTAACATTATAACTCTACTGCCAGTGGGTCGGTCTGGTTAACATTAGAACTCTACTGCCAGTGGGTTGGTCTGGTTAACATTAGAACTCTACTGCCAGTGGGTTGGTCTGGTTAACATTAGAACTCTACTGCCAGTGGGTCAGTCTGGTTAACATTAGAACTCTACTGCCAGTGGGTCGGTCTGGTTAACATTAGAACTCTACTGCCAGTGGGTCGGTCTGGTTAACATTATAACTCTACTGCCAGTGGGTCGGTCTGGTTAGCATTAGAACTCTACTGCCAGTGGGTCGGTCTGGTTAGCATTAGAACACTATTGCCGGTGTGCAATGTTCAAGAGCCAATTTGAGAGCCAAGAGGACAGCCAAGGATGTTATTCAAACATCCACGTGTAGCATCCATGCGTGTGTGTGTGTGTGTGTGTGTGTGTGTACTGTATGTGTCCATGCGTGTGTATACTGGATGTGTGTGTGTGTGTGCTGTATGTATTTAAGTGTGTTATTGGACCCACCCAGATGCTCTACTGGCTGCGCCAGGGTTGGGTCTGGGCTAACGTGTTATTGGCTGGATGTTTGTTTGTCCTGTCAGAGCTCAGCTGGGCCTGTTTGCTTTAATTTATCGTTTCATCCTCATGTTACCACCATCAAATATTTACAGAACCCTCATCAGGTGCAAGAGGGGAAACCACCACTGGATGAGTGTGTGTGTGTGTGTGTGTGTGTGTGTGTGTGTGTGTGTGTGTGTGTGTGTGTGTGTGTGTGCGAAGCATAAAGTGTATGCATCCAAGGGTGTGAAAATGGGACAATTTCCTCTCCTCCCTTTTCCTCCTCTGTAGTTTTTATTTCGACTGATGGTTTTCAGAAGCTCTCTAATGATTAGAAGTGACATTGGTTGAAATCCCAACCCTGCCCTGGAATGCGCTGACGTTTCTACATCTCCATAAAGCAGGAAGCAGAGAGACAGGGACAACACCTCCATAAAGCAGGAAGCAGAGAGACAGGGACTACACCTCCATAAAGCAGGAAGCAGAGAGACAGGGATAACCACACCCTCACTTCATAGATCTTCACATGCAGGAGAGAGAGAGAGAGAGAGAGAGAGAAGAGAGAGAGAGAGATCGATATAGAGATATAGATGATCTAAGAGAGAGAGATCTATGAGAGCGAGAGTAGATCGATCAGATATATCAGCTCGCTCTCTCTCGCTCTCGCCTCTCATCTCGATCTCTCCTCTACTCGCGTAGCTCTATCTTGCGCGTCCTCTACGCTATCTCTCGCTCTATCCTCTCGTCTCTCTCTCTCGCTTCTCTCTACTCTCCTGATATTCTCTCGATATAGGTCCTTATGAGCCGCTTATCGCTCGAACTCATGCTTAAACTCAGGGAGCGACAGAACCAGGAGAGGCTTCTGTCAAGGCATGTTTACCCTAGCCTCGTTGCAAACCAGGCTTCCCTGAAACGGGAAACCTTGGGAAGTTCCATAGCAGAAATCAGCTAAAGAGGAGTCGGAACCCGTCGTAAATCAGTGAAGCCTCGCAACACGTCAAACCAATCAAATGCCTTGCTTGGGCGGAGCTCCAAAGGTGCCAGATTAGTGCCGTCAACATAACAAGCACTGGTGACAAAATATTTTATAACGTTTGCAGCATGATGGTCTTCACAGCATTTCACTGTTATTTCGAGATGAGCTAAATTAGCTGTGTTATCCCAGTCGCTA